CCTCCGCTACCGAATGTGGACGTAGATTATGTTTTAACCCCTGTGTGTGTGTTTGTTTGTGTGTTTCTCAGGATGATTTCTCGAAAACGGTTGAATGGATTTGGACGAATGCTGGATTATATTTGGACTATGACCCAAATTAGAAGCGATTAATTTATTGAGGGTCAAGGTCACAGAAAGGTCATGCAAAAAAAATCCCTCTCTGTTAACATGGGGACCGATTTTTCACACAATTTTTGCTCTATAAATCAGTCAAAAATGACCGTATTTTGATGAAACTTGGTGGACACATGTAGAATATTATTCCTCATTCTCCTGCCAAAAATTGTACATGTCCGTTGATAACGACGGACATACGGACACATTTTCTTATTTTCAATTGCCGAATATGGCGGAGGTATGCGCTCTTCTAAGAAACGGCTTATAAACCAATCAGTGAGCAATGTGGCAAAGTATTATTGATTCTAAAATTGTAAATGGGTCTCAATTTCATTGGATAACGTAAATGATAATGTGTAACAATGTAATTGGCTTTAAAGAACAAGTGATTTCAATACGTAGAGTATACATAAGATTATTGAAGTGTTGTTCAGTGGCTTCCTTTTATGTAACTTACATTTACCTCACTCAGTAAAAAGTTTAAACATTTCTAAATAGCACAAAAGATACTGACACTTTAAAGTACACAGCAGTTTTATGACAAAACAAGCTGAAGTACTCATCCTTTGTCCGGGGTATTAAACAATATGAGGGTAGATGCTATGCTAAATAACATATAAATCCTTAAGAACTCAGTGCGTTTATACTTAAAACATGGTATACACTGTGCGATGGTAAGGATGACTTTGTAGGAAGAGGTAGCGGCAAAGATATTGGTGGTAGGGGTTCTTTCTGTAACACGCTTTCAACACCCAGCTCTTAATGTCCTTCCACAGTGTTTCACGTTTTTAATTAATTGAAGTTCATTGGCCGCAGAAGTGTCTTACGGGCCGAAGTTGTAAGATCATGGGTAAGAATCAAGAAACGGCTATTCATATCAACCTTGTGGTGGCTGTTGGTGTAGAAACGTCAGCTGAGTTTATTTATTATTGCAATAGTGGCAGCCATTTTTTATAATGGATTCCTCCACAGAGAGTGCCAGTTTGTTATTTTATATAAAATTTAATAACGTTTTTTTTTGTTCGGTGTAAAGACGTGGCGCCATCTATTAATGTACTTAACGTATGTCAAAGATAATAAATGCCCGATAACAGCAATAATGGGGGGGTGGGGTGGAAGGGGTTGTAAGCCCTCCATTAACATACCCCTTGTTTCAAACTATCATCCCACAAAGTTTAGCCGAGATTAGCCAAGCGACCTAGAAGTTGTTAGATAACGGACAAACAGAGACACACGTATAGTTATGTGTTATATATATATAGCCAGCGCCATCTCTAAACGTCAACACATTGCAACATCTATCACACCTTACGATGATAAAGTTGAAGAGTAAACTTATTTAAAGATGGAGCTCACATGGATGCAAAGTAGAAAAATGGCGTTAAATTGTGCCAAAACGCACAAATGGGTTTAAACAGCATTCGATACACATGAAAAAAAAAAAAAAAAAGGTAGTGACAATAGCCTAGTTAATTTCTAAAAATACACCCTATGTCACTTCCACCACAGGTGAAACAACTTGCATTATTATTACACTTATTTTTCGGCCATCACTTTGTTCTCTTAGCTGTGATCGACAGCCCCATTCAAACAAGCAACGTTAATGACTACACCATTTTCTTCAAATGCATAACAATAGCGAAGTATTTTGATATTTGCTATTGCTGTCACTATAAGATAAATTATTCATAACCATGTAACCTAATACTTGAAGATAACAAGCTGGAAGTTTGTATTGTGGAAAAAAATAAACTTCAAGTTGTCCGTCTTTACATCAAAGGAATTTTAATAATTGTTATCCAATGAATGCTACAACTGATAAGATAAATTGATATACATTCTACCACAAGCTTGAGGTATGATATCTGTTTCTAATACAAGACTGTGTTTCTTGAAAGGTAATTATAACTAACTTTAAACAAAAACCAACAGTGTATGTTCAGAATGACGTCATCCAAGTTACTCGCACATTCTGCATAGTAGTAGTAGTATGATCGAACAACCGTGAACTCACATCTACAGGATATATTTTATATCATGTGTCCGGAAATTATGTTAACAAAACTGCTTACTTGTTCTTCTGAGATTTGTTAGCGTAATTTTCGAACCCCCTGTACATGCAACACTTAGCCAGAGCTAGGTAATGCTGTAAACCGATCATTGTGTGAGGGATTGGCTGACATTGAAACCGACAGAAATGAAAAATATTCCAATTTTCTTCACTCTGGACTATTGGTAAAAAAAAATGGAAGGGCCACAAACTTCAAAATTAGCCACTTTTCTGAAATCATGTGACGTACTAAATTTCAAACCTTGGTTCAACTGCTACGGTTGGAAAACTGTTATAAGTAAGTTCTCTGGAATACTGCCCGATAGATTCCAACTGTATTATGGCATACCAACAAACTACTTTTTCATAGCGACATTACAGACTACACCTGTATCTCTTAAGAACGATGCACTTCATACTTTAATAAAAACATTCTACATCTTACACCCTCAGGTTGCAAAATATCGTTGACGAAAATAGTACATGTTGCCTAGTTCATCTCAGTGGGGGCGCTATAGGATGTCAGCAGGCCATTTACTTTAATACTGTTCTTTCTGAGAGACCCCTACTGTTTTCCTGTTTTAGCTCCCAAATTGTTTACCCTGAAATTCAAGATGACAATTTTTATGTTTTGTCACAGATGAAGAAAAATATGTACCCTAGTTTTCTGTTTCGAATTGGTTACTCTTGTTCCTGAGGATCAGAAGCTATTGCATCGCCATATGCAGGAGACCCAAAAATTAAGAGCCGTCATTTGGTTCGTCAACAGTACTGGAAAGCCTAAATCCATCAAAAAGACTGTTATCTTCAGTGCGGGACAACCAATCGCGTATGGACACACCTCAAATAACTTATAACACTGTGAGTCGTCCCCTGGGGCTTATGATAAACACGTCATTTATAAGCCTACCTACAAATTAGCAGTTGTGAACGCTATCAACAACGTTTTAACTTCACCAAATCACCTTTCTTGAAGTACATGAATACTTTATACGTCCTACAATTTTGTTCTGAAAATATCAAATTATGTAAATAAAGTCGAGCCAAGAATTAATTACTAGATTTCATTTAGTTTCAGGTAACAGTGGTTGAGTAAAATGCAGTATACACGGATGCGAACCGTGTGATTTATATATTTTCTATATGTATCTTCATACGCACTAGTTTCAATGATGTATTTTTTAATTTAATTATTATTTTCACAAGCAGTTGTTTGAATGATATATTTATATTTTCATTTAGAAGGCTAATGTTTTCATGATAAATTCATAATTTTAGCATTTTTGTTATTGTTTGTTCTTTTGTAGTTAAGCACAAAACTGCACAATGGCCATCTGTGCTCTGCCCACCATGGATATCGAAACCCGGTTTCTAGCATTGTAAGTCCGCAGACATATAGCTGTGCCACTGGAGGGCATTTGTTTTTAAGTTTAATACAAGGTCAGTCATGTGAAAAATTAAGTTTTAGAACTGGAATTGAAATTTTCATTCTGAATGGCACTTCATGTGTACGCGAGCTAAAAACCAGGTCAGAGGTCGCAAGGATTCAAGTACCGCTGTCCATAATTTTGAACAACTGACCAGAGAAAAGGCAACCAGCCACCTTAAGGATTTTGTCCAGCTCTTTGAACCGAATAAGAAATCATGAATGAAAGTAAAGAAGAATGTAATCAATCAACCACATAATATATACTATATTTAGTGTCAACAAAACCTCTTGTCCAATACCAGGGTTCATCAGGCCAAGATGTCATGAATGATAGTAAAGAAGAATGTAATCAATCAACCACATAATATATACTATCTTTAGTGTCGACAAAACCTCTTGCCCAATACCAGGGTTCATCAGATCGAGCTGTCATGACTGATAGTAAAGTAGAATGTAATCAATCAACCACAAAATATATACTATCTTTAGTGCCGACAAAACCTCTTGCCCAATACCAGGGTTCATCAGGCCAAGCTGGTTGATTGATTACATTCTTCTTTACTTTCATTCATGACACATAATATATACTATCTTTAGTGTCGACAAAACCTCTCACCCAATACCAGGATTCATCAGGCCAAGCTGGCAGCTACTTTCACAATGCACCCCCAGCTGAAGGTGTGACGTGCTTCGAACCTCAGATCCTTGGATCTGCAGCCTTACATGCTAACCACTAGGCCACTCCCGGCTCTCGAAAGAAGTGAATATTCTGACTAAGAAAACTAAAATACTCTAAACCTACATTGTTATTATATTTTAAAAGCATACATCTATTAGTTTATTTCACTTTATAAATCTACTTCACAATTTGAAGTCTAAACCAACAACAATATTTGTTGAGTACAATCACATAACTTACCTACATTTCAGCAAGAGCCCACATATAACCCAAACAACTAAATTATGCTTCTTTATATATTTTATAAAAATAATGATTTCAAAAATTGCAGATATCCAATTTTTGAATGTGTTAAATTAGAAAACGAGTTCCTCCACACGACTGTGTATTTATGCTGTTTTAAACAGTTTTGAGTTAAAATTAAACATACGATATCAAACATAGAAGTGGAACGAAGCTAATGTTTTGTGCTGTTCTGCTAGTTTGTATTTTCCTGAAAAGGCGCAGTCTGCTATTAACTGATGAGTTATGTGTTCTTTCCTTGCTTCTAAGAGTCATGGGGTTATTATAAAAGCCAGTCTCTCGTTACTTCTAAATGACTTTTATAAACCGGTCACAATGAAGGAGGTTAATACATGTTGAATATGTCGACTACATATCAGATCAGGCTGTGGTCTACTTACGCTTTCTCCTGTGTATCAAGGTGCTGAACCAACTCATCCCGTTTGTTGACAATCACTACCAGCTCATCTAATAGTAGTTTCTCTCGTCTTTTCTGCGTCTCTGTCTTCTGCCAATCTGCAAAACATTAAAGAAACTCTTCACACATTTAGAATACTTTAATTTGTTGCTGTTAGTGAAGTTAGTAGTATAAGCTGTTGGTAAAGTTATAATAGTGTAGACTGTTAGTGAAGTTACTAGTATAGACTGTTGGTAAAGTTATAATAGTGTAGACCTTTAGTGAAGTTACTAGTATAAGCTGTTGGTAAAGTTATAATAGTGTAGACCTTTAGTGAAGTTACTAGTATAAGCTGTTGGTAAAGTTATAATAGTGTAGACTGTTAGTGAAGTTACTAGTATAAGATGTTGGTAAAGTTACAATAGTGTAGACTGTCAGTGAAGTTATTAGTATAAGCTGTTGGTAAAGTTACAATAGTGTAGACTGTCAGTAAAGTTACTAGTATAAGCTGTTGGTAAAGTTGTAATAGTGTAGACTGTTAATGAAGTTACTAGTATAAGCTGTTGGTAAAGTTGTAATAGTGAAGACCGTTAGTGAAGTTACTAGTATCAGCTGTTGGTAAATTTATAATAGTGTAGACTGTTAATATAGTTATTAATATAAGCTGTTCGTAAAGTTGTAATAGTGTAGACTGTTAATGAAGTTACTAGTATAAGTTGTTGGTAAAGTTATAATAGTGTAGACTGTTAGTGAAGTTACACCAACAGCTTATACTAAAAGTTGTAATAGTGTAGACTGTTAGTGAAGTTACTAGTGTAAGCTGTTGGTAAAGTTGTAATAGTGTAGATTGTTAGTGAAGTTACTAGTGTAAGCTGTTGGTAAAGTTGTAATAGTGTAGAGTGTTAGTGAAGTTACCACTATTACAACTTACACTAGTAACTTCACTAACAGTCTACACTATTACAACTTTACCAACTTAGATTGTTAGTGAAGTTATTAGTATAAGCTGTTGGTAAAGTTATAACAGTGTAGACTGTCAGTGAAGTTACTAGTATAAGCTGTTGGTAAAGTTATAATAGTGTAGACTGTTAGTGAAGTTACTAGTATAAGCTGTTGGTAAAGTTGTAATAGTGTAGACTGTTAGTGAAGTTAC